ATCATCTCCCCCCCCCACCCCCCAGTCCATCCTTCAGGCAATACTGTAAACGCTGGATAAGGCCCACTGGTGCTGAGGTCCCCCTACGGGGCGTCCTGGTCCTGGTCCTGGTCCTGGTCCCGGGGCTGGTCCTGGTCCGGGGGCTGGTCCTGGTCTGGGGGGGGGCCGGAGAGGGGCCCGCCGGCAGAGCGGGGGTCCATGGCAGAATGCATGACGGGGAGCCAGACGTCATCCATGTTTGGCATCACCAGGAATTTCTGCACAGAGAGGGAAGGGTGAGCGGACTGTGGGGGTCTGTTGAGGTCTCTGGGGGTCTGTAGGGATCTGTGGGGATCGGTAGGGTCTTTGGTGGTCTGTGGGGGTCTGTGGAGGTCTTTGGGGGTCTGTGGGGGTCTTTGGAGGTCTGTGGGAGTCTATGGGGGTCCATTTGTTCAAGTTGACCTGATCTGGGCCCAAATCTAAGTTATTATTTGTCTTGAAGTTTGACCCTTTGTTTACCAACTATTTACCAATTATTAAATGGAACTTATTTTCCAATTTTGTCAACATCTTACAAAGTCTAAAAGAACCAAAAACAAGACTTTACACTTATTTTCTGACACTAGAACAAACATCTGGATGATTTTTGCTAAAAAGGTTTTAAATGACAAACACGAACAGATCTTAAAGGTATCGGACAAAAAGCAAAACCCGTTTTAAATGTAGCTTCTGAGTTAAAACAGAAAGTGAACAGCTAAATTCCCCTTTCCTCTCATGATGATCCTTCTGGATAACAGCCTCCATTCTAAAAAACATCCATAAAGAGTCTGGAAAGGTCATTTATGAACATCTCTAAGATAAAAAGTAAAGAGAAGAACAGCTTGTGCTGAGTCTCCAGCGGTTAGCCCGACCCCCTGTTAGCTTCAGAAATACTTTAATAGTTACTGGCTCCATAAATAAAACAGCGGCATATATATATGCCCCCCCCCCCCCCCCGTCCTACCTGGAACTCCTGCTCCAGCTTTTTCTCTATCCAGTCGGTGACGTGGGCCAGAGTCACCTCCCGCTCCCCCAGCTTGGGCCGGGCCTTCAGCTCCAGGCGGGGGGGCGTCCGGAAGCCGTACCTGGGAGGAGAGGAGAGGGGTTTCCTCAGGGGGGGGGGGCACCGTGCCGCTCAGCCCACCACCCCAAAGTAACAACCCCCACACTATAAACGGATATAAACATCTATAATATATATGTACAAATATTAACCCTATAATGCCAAATGTGTCCTATTTGACACGGTCTCTGAAGTCTTTTGGATCTGAGACTTTTTGCATCATTCAGTGGTAAAAGCTTTGCTCAAACCCCTGTTGAACAC